GCCCCCTTGTTCAAACAGACACCCAGACCTGCAGCTCACGTCCACAGGGCAAAGTAATGAGACATAGTGGCCTGGGGCTATACACTACTGCCCAAAGGTTGACACCCAGAGTCGTCCCCAACAAAGTAAAATAAGAGGAAAATTAGAAAATACAACCAGAGGACAGACATCACCACACACTTTTACTCTACTACATTTCAAAATGATCCAGTTTTACTCCAGTATTTATGTATTTCGTTTCTTTAATACAACAAAATAAAATTGGAAGTTTTGACGAATCACTGGTCCTAGTTTTTTAAGTTAGATAATAGGTCACATGAGGGCAGGTGCAAACAACTGCTCTCAAAGCCACAGTTAAGTTTCGATTTCCAGTCAAGCCCACGCTGCATGTCAGATTAGATGCTACATGCTAGTGACCACATTCAGCATGACAATGAGACCGACTTCATGATGGAAGCAGAAAATGGTGTCCCACAGCAGAGAGGGTGAGTCATGATGCAAGGAGAGAAAGATTTGTGACAGGTTACACTGCTGGGACTGCTCTACTGCAGCGTGTCACCCCTGGGCGGCCAAATGATTTCTGCTTTACTTCAAGTGTAATGTACACGCTCCATTTTAAAGGTGGTGTACATGTTGAGAAAAAATAAACCTTTCCATTACCAGCATTTAATTTTACTTTCAGTGCTCAGGAATATTTAATGATTTAAAATTGCTTACTTAGTCATTTTAGGTAAGATATCTGTATTTGTACTTAAGTGTGACTTTCAGGAATGTCATCCATCGATGCTTGTGGGTCTTAAGTGATGATTAAGATGCATTACTTTTCTGTGGGTCTATGTGTTTCTTTAGGAAAATCCTGCAAAGTATGCTTTTACCTCTCATATGATGCCTGATTCTGTTTTAAAATGGGGGAGCAAACTTGGATAGATACATTAGTTGCAGGCGATCTGAGGGTTCTCCCATGCATTTTGTTTTTATATTTAAGATACATTTCCTGCATGTCTACACCACCTGCATTAGTCTAGATTAGTTAGATTGAGGGTGATTTAAGGACCAAGAATGCATCAACAACAGTATAACTGGCTGGATCAGGACGGAGAGTTATTATGACATTATTACTGCTATTCTCAATACTCACAGGGTGATCTTAAAAGTCTAACAACTGCGACAAAGTAGAAGCAGTCTGGATAAATGAAATGGTCTCACGACAGCTATTCCTCTCCCGCCTGTTTATTTTACACACAGGTTTTAGTGGTAGCTATTCTCAATTAGGGCTGCAAAGATTATTCGACTATTAAAATAATCGGTGACTATTTTAGTAGTCGACTAATCGGTTTGAGTCATTTTTCATAGAAAAGTACTATAAAAGTGCCCCAAAATACTCTTATTGCAGCTTCTTACGTTAAAATATTGGCAGCTTTACACACTCTCCCATGATGGTGAACTAAAACCCTTTGGCGTGAGTACGAAACAAGACATTAGATGACATCATTTTGGGATTTGGGAGAGACAGACCGACATTTTTCAACATTTCAACACATTTTTCGATAAAATGATTAGTCTACTAATCGAAGAAATAATCGACAGATTAATCGACAATGAAAATAATCGTTAGTTGCAGCCCTACTCTCAATAGCACCACTGGCCGGTGTAGCTGTAATAACATACAAAAATAAATAATCAGAACTTCTACATTTGAAATTTTTGACCTACATTCAAATCAAGACTCAAAAGGCCCATTTTAGTCGAGAACTAGACCTAACTGTGACACACGCACCTCTCATTTACACTGTAAAAGAAAATGTGACTTTACCGTTAGACTCCCAACAGTTAGAGATCTGTTATGATATTCAGATATGAAAAAAACTTATTGATGGTACTATTCTAACTCACCCGAAAATAACAATTGTACCATTATATTAATGATAAATGTTACTGGTTATGTTGCCGTTTTAGATTTTTAGTAGGGCCGTAACGGTACATGTATTTGTGTCGAACCATTCGGTACGCGACTTTCAGTTCAGCACGACCCTGTACTGAATTATTGGGCGCAGGATATTATTTTATTTTATTCTATTTCATTTTAATTCCGTTTTTGCGAGCCGAACCAATTAAAATATCTAGTTCCCCGACGGACATAATTGAGTGACGGACCGAGTCCCGTAAATCTCCGCTTTCACTTTGTGCAGCGCATTCTCGCATTTTGACAACATGGCAAGTGAGCCTGACGAACCTGAAGACCCACCTGCAAACCTTAAGTCCTCCGTTTGGGAACACTTTGGTTTCAGGGTAAAATACGAAGATGGAAATAAACAAGTGGACAAGACAAAAGCAGTGTGCCTACACTGCAGAACAGCGGTCGGGTATGTACTTGGAAACACGTCTAACATGCTAACGCATCTAAAGCGACACCACCCGAGTTTGAACGTTAACCGGCACGAGTAGAAAAAGCAATCTGGGGCAAACTACGATATCGCCGTCGTTTAAAAAGAAAGAGCGTTTCCCTGACCATCACGCTAAAGAAATAACAAACGCCATTGGAGTTGAGTAAAATTGTTTATGCTGCACTTTAGATATAAGCATGTTTTGTTTACTGCACTTTAACAAAGTGGGAAAGCTAAGTAAGTTCCTAGTAAAACTGAATCTGAGCAGGCTTTAAAGCTGACCAGCTGCACTATACTTTTTATTTTAACTGAGTAAAACTGTTAAAGCAGAAATGTATATTTATATTTTTCATTCAAAAAATGTGTTAAAAAAACAGCAGGATTTTATTTTTCACTTTTATATTTCTATTTTCATTCAAACAATGTGTAAAAGCAGGATTTTATATATATTTGTTTCATTCAAAAATTGTGTAAAAAGAGTTAACTGCTGTGGTGGTATGTTTTAATAAGGTTACCAATAAGTAAAAGATATTTAATAGTTGTCTATTTTTTTCATTACTGTACCGAAAAAAAACTAACCGTGACTTGTATACCGAGGTACGTACCGAACCGAGATTTTTGTGTACCGTTACACCCCTAATTTTTAGTCACAACATGTAACAATTAAAATATAATGGATCATAATTAATCAAACTAAAAATTAAAAGCTCCACCTTAAACTGAGTTTAAGTACATTTAAATACACTGTGCTGATGATCTGTCTCCCGACTGCAGGACTTCCACTTTAACAATTACTGAGTGCTAATAATAGTTTTACTGAAGAAAATAGTTTTGAGTACTTCCTCTACAGCTGCCAATAGCCTACCAACATTCCCACTGAAGGGTGAAAATAAAGCAAGACAAATTTTGCCCGGGGCCCCCAGGCCCCCAAATCACTAAGTCCGCCCCTGCTAATAATGAAAGCACTGCACAAGATGAAAGGAGAGACACGGAGTGATGCGTCCCTGTAGGTTGTTTAAAAAGAATTCCATCTAAAGTGTGACTAAAACTGAAACTAAAACGAAACAGTCTGTAGAACTCCAAGTGACTCACTTTCCACTTTTGTTGCACCACCCCACGGTTGGCCCATCTACCCCTGTGAAATATTTCTGGGGGCATCACTGACATTAGGATTAACGATCTGTGATACTTTTTCACTTTTTTTCTAATATTTAAACATACCAGCTACTGTGGTCGAGACTGAAAAATCTTCTCAGTTATTGCATAGTTTGCCATGACATTTAATGCAAAAACATCAATCACCCCTTGAGGATGAATCTTCCTGACACTGGTGATTTTTCCTCTAGCGCAGTTGACATTTGTGATTTATTGACTGGATTGTTGTGAAATTTGGTAGAGACATTCAAATCCCCCTCAAGATTAATTGTAGTAACTTTTATCATCCCGTTGCGCCATCATCAGGTCACATTTTTCATTTGTCAAATACTTAAGTTAATGATCAAATAACTGCAAAACAAATATATTCATATGTACTTTGTATTCAGTGCTGATTAGCAAGGAATACTAGCACACTTGGAAAGATCGCCTTTTAATTAAACTAGGACGTCTATGCAGTAGAAAGATGCAAATTCTTTTGAAACTGGTGCTACAGAGGGAGAAAACCTCCAACTACGAGGAAGCACTGTGTCGCACCAGACGAATTAACACTTCGCTGGCAGGTGACATAATGTGAACACGTCTGTTTCAAACAGTGGCGGCTGGTGAGAAACCATATTGATCTATTACAGTTAAACAGTCCGCTAAAACATGTTTCTGAAACGTGAGGTGAGAAATAGGCAACTCAGTAACAGAATCCTGGTTTATATTTGATCAGTGCTGCCTAGTTTTACAGTTTGATCTCAGTTTTTGTTTTTTTTTTGCCTCTATTTTCACTGTGCAGGAAACAGTATGGCGCCCACTTCCTGTTCACAAACTCTCATATTACAGCCAAACAGTGCACTAAAATATGTTTCTGAAGACATTTTAGCTGAGAAAGAGTCAATACACTAACAGAACCTTGTTTTTTATTTCATCAGCACTGCTTAGTTTTATAGTTTGATCTCAGTATTTTAAGTCTCTGTTTTCACAATACAGGAAACAGTATGGCGCACACTTCCTGTTCACAAACTCTCACTATTACACATAAAGAAGGCACCAAATTATGTTTCTAAAGAACATTGAAGGCAAGAAATAGGCAGTGCAGTAACAGAACCTTGATATATGTTCGATCAACACTGCCGATTTTTACAATTTGATCAGATTTTACTCTTTTTACTTTACTCTTTGTGTCCACGTTGGCAGCATGGGTGGCGGGCAACATGAAAATGCAGAAGTACACCTTGTAGTTCAAGCAACAGCCCGAGAGCAACCGAAACTCTGCTAGATGAAGTAAATTCTGTCACCTGGCAGAGCTTACCGGGGGCCAGGAGGGATATCTAGGCACTTGATAGATGGAGGGACGTTTACAACAGTTCACTGACACATACTACCCACAGTGTTCTGACACAAAGCTGGTTGAAAATCAGCAAAGTACCCTTTCAACTAGCATTAGCATTAGCATCTTGTCTCTCTACTCACCAGGAACCCTGTGCTTCGACTTGATGTTCCCCTCACACTTCCGTTTTGCTCTGAACAACAGGCCTATCTGTTCATCTTTTGTAAGCACATCATCTGCGTAAGCCTGCAAAAAAAAAAGAAAAACGTAGAGGTTAAATGAAGGGAAATACTGAAGCATCAATGACAGTGATGTGCAACATGTAGGGCTATGTTGTAAATGCAAAGCTCCTTCAATAACAGTCATCATTAAGCGACCTGACAGTGTTCCATCAGTCCAAAGAGGCTATTTCTACAAGAAAGGTTGTTCTGTTGACTGATTTGTGGGCCCATCAGGATCTGATGCAAAGGTTTTGACCTTTCTCTCATACTGAAAATGAGCACTGAAAGCATCAGTTGACTCCCAGATAGCAATTAACAGTGAAATATTGTCAGGCAGTATTGAATCCACATTGATGGCTGACACTGAAACCAAAGTCAAAGTGCTTGCTATGTTTAATGTCAAATAAACGTCAGATTCTAAACCATGACTGTCTCCTCCGCCATCTCTCTCCAAAATAACTTTTAGATGTTTTCCCTATTCCATGTAATTGTTTTCTTTGTCACACAAAACCAAACATGCTCATGCTTTGCAGAGAAGAGATGCTTTATTCAAAATGTTTCTCACACAATTGATTGGTCTTTGTTTATGTTGAAATATCAAGGAGGGAAACTTGGCACGAGAGACATATTGATTAAATGTTTGTATTTCAGTTTTGAAAACATGCCTCAAATTGCCGATTCAATGGCATTTCTTCTTCATTCCAGCTGTGGCTGTTCCAGAAATGTTTATTTAAATTAGATTTTTCAAACTCTCTCGCCATAACTCAGTGCTGGATTAACAACTTCTGCTATCTCCAGACATGATTTCCTCTTCACAGCTGCTTCATAACCCTCAAACCACTGCTTTCTGCATCCCTGGTCATAGCGCTGCAGGCAGCACCTTCTAAATACGGTTTCTTTCTGTGAAATGTTCCTGAAAATGTAGACTGCTGACTTTTTCTCCAACAGAATATGAGGGAAAGCAACAGGGTGGCCTGGATGTTAGACCGCCCTCTGTATCTGGAAGGTCAGATTAGATTGTACTTTGACCGCAGCAGTCCGCCCCTCCAAGTGTTCATGAGAAAGCGGTAAGCCTGTGTTTATTTCTGTCTTAACTGTCATGAGGATAAAAAAAAGTTGTAAAAGACTCAATGTTTTTCCTTGAATAAACAGTATCAGTTTCACTTGTTGTTTATAGTCCCAGCTTGTATTCCTGCGGTTAAATCCACTGTGTGGCCACTAATCGGACATGACAAAGTTGTAACATGGACAAAAACGACATTTCATTCCCAACATTAACTTACACCTTATATGTTGTCAGCCTTTGAACATTGTGTTTGAGAGTGGCGTGGCTCCTCAGGTGTGGTTTTCCAGTCATGGAAACATTTTCCATTCTAATAGGTCACACTGACTGGCTCGCTGTTTGCTCAGAGATCACTTTTGGGCAATGACAAATGTGACTGTATTGAAAATGACCACATTCATTTTTAACAGAGCGTGACAAGAAAAGTGGAAATGAAAACAGAGAAATCCAAGCCAAGCGCTAAAACTGAAGCATAGATCAGCACACAAATCATTAGGATTTTCTACGCTGTCATATAAGGGTTTTCATGGTGCGTTGAGCCAACGCTGCCGAAAAATGCAATATGTATCTTCACAATGAAACACAAACTAACATGTATGCCATCGAGTGTGCCTGGAGGTACGGCTAAAAAAACTCCCGGTCTCATTTTTTTGGTTCAGTGATGCAGAGCAAACAGTACAAATTAAAGACAGACGTTTGCCCAGAGCAGCTGACTCCCCGGCTGCAGTTGTATTTGTCAGCTTCAGACACAAATTACATGTCTGGATGTAAAGGAATCAAATTCTGCTCTCAGGTTTACAAGTGATGGGAAAATGATTTGTCAAAAGGAAAATTAGTCCCAGCATGCAGAGAAGAAAGAAACATGAAGAGACAGAGAGGGTGAGAAGGTTAAATGCTGACACAGATGCAAATTGTTACACTTCTAAAAAATGTATCACATCCATTTGATGCATGATGCAAAAGCAGTGTGAAAATGTTCACAGGATGTCATCATTGACATCAATTTGATGCCATCTGTCCAGCGTGATTTATTAGTTAAATATGGACATTTGAGATAGAGTGAGTGACAATGAACTAAAAAAAAATTAAAAGGTTGATTGTGTTTAAGCATTTAACAACCTTTGATACATTTGTTAAATCCAACAGTTCATAATTGTTAGTACAGACATTAAGTATGTGTTGCTTTCTGTTTCTTAACATGAAAAAATGCAGTTGTGAATTTAACATTCCCATCACTTAAATAAACATGCAACAATACAAAAATGCTGTTTTACAATAAATAATCCAGCACTGAAAATCTAACTTTAGACCACAAAAATATTATCAACAAAGCGTACTTAAGGTATTAGTCGGCAAGATTTCACTGGTCGCTTAGTCGCTTAAAACCAAAAAACAAACCAACTGTCAAAATAAACCAAAACTGACATGACTGGACCATGTTGGAATTTAATTTGAAAGGACAGACACAGGAAGTGGCCACATCAGGAGTCAGGTTAATTTCCAGGGCAGGAAATCCAAAGTGTGGGATCATTTTGAGAAGGTGAAGGACGAACCCAAGGTGATATGTAAACTCATCTTCATTGGTCGACTACAAACATGACGTATCATCTGAAACATGGAAGTAGCTACATGCACATTAGCCCACAGCGTCATTAACAGGCGGCTCGCTCAGTGTGTGACGTGCACTTGTAGATAAAATATAGGCCTATATTAATGAAGGTTCATTAGTACGGTTTTGTATTTCTCTGTAATGTAGCACAGTGTTAACAATGTTACTGATACTATTCTTTCTCACACCTTCAACTCAAACCACCAAAATATATCATTTAATCATTACATTCATATCGTAGCGAGTAGTCGACTAATGGCCCTAAATGACAATTGGTCGACTAGGAAAATGATATTATAACATTATTTGATTATTATTACTGTTGCATGTGCAGCACTTTAGTGTTACAGCTGGTTGCCGTGAAGCTGTGAGGTAAATTTAGTGAAGTAAAAAGTAAAATAATTCCTTCTAAAATGCAGAGAAGTACAAGTATAAAGTAGAGAAAAACAACAGAGCTTGAGTAAATGTACTTAATTACTTCCCACCACTGGCATCCTGATACAGTTACTGTAGTACTGCACACCAGTCAGAGTGCATAGCTCTGCAGTTAGCTGCTCCAAATGACATGAAAACCATTTACTGCAGCAAAGCAAAGTTTTGCTGTCTCTAAGCCCTCTCTGGTGCCTGTTTATAATCTAAAATAAGCAGCTGAGGAACTTCTAAATCTGCACGCCGAGACAAGGAGTAATTTGGGAACAAAGACGTGTATACATTGTCTCTGGTGCAAGTGCGTAATTCTGCGAGCTTAAAATGAAACTGCAAATACCGAGCCGTCGTGGATTTGCTGCACACAAAACCATAATACCTCAATCCATCAATATTTTCACTACTTTCAGCCTGAAATAAGGATGTCCAGTCTGAGAGCTGAATAAGGTTACAGAATGAAGACGTTTATGGCTTTGCACAGTAAACAACCACAGATGGAACAACATTTGACCGCAGGCGAACAAGGATAGATACTACCTGTTTACTGTACTAACTATGCCAATATAGAATATTCCACTGAACGCTCCTGAGACGTTCACACTATTTTCATCTGAATAACTGGCTGGTGTTACTTTGGGTGAACGTTGAGCAAACAGGAAACCAGAAACAGTGAGTCTGGACGGTTGCTGCTCGGAAAGGGCAAGTGTCATTATCATCAGTGCTTAGTAAAGTAGATCATCAGTTGTTTTGCAGTTTTGTGATTGCAATTTTCACAGTCTGAATGAAAGTTAACAAGCTCTTATTATCATCTACTGCATATTATATGCTGCATTTCTTTGCTATCAGGGATTTTTACTTCAGTCAAACACTTCAAAGTGGGCCTATATGTCAGTTACAATTTGCATTCATACCTCAGTGTGTCTTTTTTTGCCAATCTGGTTAAGTGAAGCTGCCGTTCTGACACATTAAGAACACACATCCTAACATTTACAGCTCACTTTAAGCCCCTGTGAAACACTAAACTAAAACGAGGCCCAGAGTCTCAGGGTATATTTTCTTTCACAAAAACTAAGGGAAATTTCCTCCTTCATCTGCAGACGCCAGCTTCGCAGGGACATAGAAGAGTATCATTTACCATTTTAAGAAGAGAATCCTGGGTAATAAGTGTGCCCCCTGATTATTTCTGAAAACTATTCCTCCTCCACTGGCCAGAGTCCAAACCTCCAAAGTAAACACAACTCTCACAGGGAGAAACATGGACATTCTTATTTACTGCATTTCATTCAAAACACAGTAATCTTTTTGTCAAATGCTTTTTGCGCGTGTGCCAAAATGAAAATTAGAAAAATACACACCATATAAATATGTGTGTTTTCATCACTGGACGCTAGAATACAAACTCCACTTGAATAAACCACAAGTTTCTATTTGTCTTCGCAAACTGCGGCTTGATGACTTCAACTGCAGCTCCCTGCAAGGATATAAGACCAATATTGAGAGAACTGTATTTAGGCTGGTGTGTCAAGACTGTGTTGAACCACTGCGCCTAAATACTGACGGTATGAGAGTGAAGGTACACTTACAGTTTTAGCTCTGATTCCAGCATTTGGTTTCCATATTATTTTAGTAACTTAATGCTCAGTTATATTTAGTTATAGAAGTTTCGCTTGTCTGGCACCACAGATGTCTTCAGTGTTCATGTGTTGATTTTTTAATATGTTGTCGCAGAAGGATAAAGAAAAAATACTTGCATCAAAAATGGAGTCATGTGGACAGACGCCATGCATACATTGAGTGGAGACACTGGGTTTCCGGTACATTACCAACAGTCTTGATTGTGGACAGCTTGCACTTTTTCTTTCTCTTTTTTCAAGAAAGCTGTGGTTGACCAAAGTCATTTCCTGAAATGCCCTACAGTGAATAAGAG